AAGGTCAACGAGTCGACCCAGAATTGGCACCAGGTGAGCCCGGGCTCTTTTTTAACTCAACGCCTGGCCCTCAGCGCCTCAGCCCTCCATCTTCCCTCTCCCCCTCCCACCACTGACGCCGCCTTCTCCCCTCCAGCTGGAGAACATCGGCAACTTCATCAAGGCCATCACCAAGTACGGGGTGAAGCCCCACGACATCTTCGAGGCCAATGACCTGTTTGAGAACACCAACCACACCCAGGTGCAGTCTACGCTCCTGGCCCTGGCCAGCATGGTGAGTGGGGGAAGGGTGGGCGGGGGCCAGGCGGGCTGTGGGTGGTCTGGGCGTGGATGCCAGTGTGGCTGCTCCCAGCGTGGGCGGGAGGGGGAGTGCAGCTGCTGCAAGGGGTCTCCGAGGGGACAACGCGGTCCAGAGGCTCCCTCAGTCCCTGCCCTCTCGCCCTGCCCAGGCCAAGACGAAAGGGAACAAGGTGAACGTGGGCGTCAAGTATGCCGAGAAGCAGGAGCGGAAATTTGAGCCCGAGAAGCTCAGAGAAGGGCGGAACATCATCGGGCTGCAGGTACTGCCCCTTCCTCTCCTGGCTCTGGCTCTCGATGCTGAACTGGGAGGAGGTGGGGGAGGTCGAGGAGGCTGGGAGGGCACCCTGGTCCCCGCGGGCTGTGGGGGACAGGCTATTTGGCATTAACTGAATGATATGCCAGGCGCTGTGCGCAGCATTTTCCAACAGTTCTGCGGGGGGAGGGACTGTCAGCATCCTACCCTTTACATAGATGAGGAAACCGAGGTGTGCAGAAGCTAGCTCACTTGCGAGGATCGCCCAGGTGACGAGTGGCCAGGCTGGGCCTTGAACCTGGCAGTGAGGCCCTGGTGCTCGGAGCCACTTACTGGGGGTGTGACACACACTCTCTGGGCTGGTTTCCAGTCTGTAGCCTGAGGGTGCACAGAGGGCTGTGTAAGGGTCCCCGGACATCATCTTGTGACCTTCAGTGGTTCTCCTTCTGGCTCCCTAGATGGGCACCAACAAGTTTGCCAGCCAGCAGGGCATGACAGCCTACGGCACCCGGCGCCACCTCTATGACCCCAAGCTGGGGACTGACCAGCCCCTGGACCAGGCCACCATCAGCCTGCAGATGGGCACCAACAAGGGAGCCAGCCAGGTGTGTGGGGGCCGTGGGGCGGGCTGGCAGGGCCTGTGCCCCTGGCTGTCCCCGCGGCCTGACCGTGTTGCCCTTTGCAGGCGGGCATGACCGCGCCGGGGACCAAGCGGCAGATCTTCGAGCCGGGGCTGGGCATGGAGCACTGTGACACGCTCAACGTCAGCCTGCAGATGGGCAGCAACAAGGGGGCCTCGCAGCGGGGCATGACGGTGTACGGGCTGCCGCGCCAGGTCTACGACCCCAAGTACTGCCTGACGCCCGAGTACCCGGAGCTGGGCGAGCCGGCTCACAACCACCACCTGCACAACTACTATAACTCTGCCTAGGGCCCTGGCTGAGCCCTCCCCCAGGAGGCTGGCTGCTGCTCGGGGCTGGGCCCGGCCCGGCCCCGCCACCCCCTCCCCCTGCATGGCGTCCTCCAGGGGTAGTGTTTGAGGGGAGCAGCCTGGGGGCCTGTGTGCGGAAAGGGGGCCCCCTCCCTGGAGCGCCGCGGGGCCCACCATCGAGCCGGGTGTCCCCAACAGCACTCAAAGGACGCACTGAGCAAAGCTACTCCGGCTGTCCCCCCACGCCCCCACAGGTGGGTCCCCCAGGACGAGAAGCCCCCCAGCGAAGCCCCCAGCGCCCAGGCTCGGCCTGCCCCCACCCCATTCCCGCCGTGGGAGCAAACTGCATGCCCAGAGACCCAGCGGCCACACGCGGTTTGGTTTCAGCGACTGGCGTACGTGGATGTGACAGCGGCGTTTGTGACGCGAGCACTTTCTTTTTCTATTTCACTGGAGCACAATAAACGGCTGTAAAATCATCCGAGGACCCGGGGCCGCTCTGTCCCAGGAGCCTGCGTGGCTCTTGCACACGTGCAAACATCCCTGCTCAGATATGCTCCATCTCACACACACACACACACTCACACGCACCCAGACACGCACTCGGGGCTCACAGCCACTCGCTGCACCCAGGACAGGCACTCACTCCCACCCAAATCTGCACACGTGCACCACTGTGTTTGAAGGACATGCACACGCTCTCTGCAGCCTTAGGCACATGCACCCTCCCCTTTCACACACAGGCAGTGCACACTCACACCCATGACATAAAAACACACACCCTCGCACACGTACACTACGTCTACACACACACGCTCGGCACCCACGTCCCTTTCCAGGAGGCTGTGGGTTGTGGTGAGATGGCCCGGGCTAGCGGGTTGTGAATCGGTCTCGCTGCTCGCTATCCAGGTGACCTTGGGCAAGTCACTTCCCTTCCTGGGCCTGTTATCCCATCAGGAAAATAGGGACAGCTGAGCATTACAGGGTCTTACGGAAGCTTAAATGGAACGACTCCTTCAGGCAGGGGAATGACATTTGGCCCTGACCAATGAGAATGGACAACAAGCCGGGTCCTGGAGCCTCTGTGGGTGGGGGGACCCTTTAGCCCTGCAGTGGACTGTGGCAAGATTGAAGGGGACAGGGCAGTGGGGGAGTGGGCAATGTGGGGGGCGTACAGCGATAGCCCTTTACTGACAGCAGGGTGCTGCTGCCCTGTGGGCCCGGCACACCGTCTCCCCTCTCCTTAAGGCTGGTCCCCGAGTCTGGCCTGCCAGCCCAGCACCCCAGAAGTCTGTGGATGGGGCTCCAACCTCCCCACGTTTCAGAGGGGACTCTGTCCTCCCCGGAATGTGGGCCCCAGCTCTCCTGCCTGGAAGCCACTACTGTCAGGGTTCCCAGGAGAGGAGGCAGCTGTGCGGGGCTCACAGAGCAAGCAGGCTTCTCCCCTTCCCTCCCCAGGCCAGGGGACAAGGCTGGAACGTGGGGACCTACAGAGACACACACCAGAAGACCTGAACGCACAGCCGCACGCAGCCCCTGGGGCCTCGTAAACGGATTCCAGGCGCTCTTGGCCCGGCTACCAGCCGAGTCCTGCTTCCCCAGGGCCAGTGCAGGAAGCCATACTGAGGAGGACCCAAGCCTGGCCCGGGGCCCTGGCTCCTGGGGAAAACAGCACCATATTAGCACTCGGCCTGTGAGAGCAGGCTGGGCGGGCCCTGGATGCCAGAGGCACGAGCCCCCTTTGTGCTGGACCCCAGAGGGCACCCCGCCACCCAGGCGCCCGTCCACTGCTCTGCCCATGTCCCCTGGCTCCTACTGGGCCAGGGGACCTTACCTGGAGCCTCGGAGGGAGAGGTGGGGGCACCAGGGAGGGGCATGTCAGGGCAGAGGGGCCTCGGGGGGCACACGCCAGACCCAGTGGCTGGGCCTGGTGGCCAGGGTTTCCAGCCAGCTCAGCACCTTCTTTGCTGTTCACGCCCCTCACTGCCCTGGGTGGGTCGCAAACTACGCCAGGCACAGGGCTGGGCGCCTCCATTCTCAGCACAGCCCAGGGAGGAAGGTTCCATCATCCTTCCCACTGTACTGGCAAGGAATCCGAAGCAAGGTCACCTGCTGCCCAGGCTCCTGAGACCAGGGGGACGAGCTGGAGCTGCCCCAGGCTGCTGAGCATCAGGGCCTCTGTCACCCACGACAGCCTCTGGGGCCACCATGCTGTAGGTGGGTGCTCACCATCAGCCACGTTCTGGTGTGTCTTCCCACCACCACCAAACAATGAACTCACTTCTGACACCGTCTACCTGGAGATGCCATCAGATGCCACAGGTTAAGGGCTCAGTCCCACAGGACTGCCCCCCCAAGCCAATCACAAGTCCAGGTTGTCACCTGTGCCTCTGACCCACGACCCCCTCCTCGGGTTCCATCAATCTGCTAGGGCGGCCCACAGAACTCTGATACCTTTCACTTACGAGATGATGGGTTGATTCTAAATGGATGTAACTCAGGGACAGCCAGATGGACGGTGTGTGGGAAGGGGCGCCCCTCTCCCAGCACCGCCCCATGCTCCCCAAGCCAGAAGCTCATCAGATCTTGTCCAACTTTCTACAGAGTTTCAGCTGCAGCCCCTGTCCCTCCCAGGGCTTGGTGGGCATGGCTGTTCACACTCAGTAATCATTTTCTGCGGGGACCAGCCACATCCTGAGACCATCTAGGGCCTCACCCTAAATCACCTTATTAGCATATGCTTGGTGTGATCAAAGGGGCTTCTTATGAACGACAAAAGACACCATCACTCAGGAAATGCCAGGGTTTGAGGAGCTCTGCCAGGAGGCAGGACAGAGACCAGTTAACGTCTCACTGCACCACACATGCGCACTGAGCCGCACCCCCGGACAAAGGCAAGGTCCCTGCTGTGGACCCTTACTTTTCTCCAAAGGGAGAAGGCTTCCCCAGAGCTCCAGCCACGAGCTGCTCCCTCATCCTGGACCCTGGACTCAGGGGGAAGTAAGCCCCCGGGGCTGCGAAGTAGGGCCCCCCTGCTGTCGGACCTTGGTCAGTGATCTCCCCTTTGGCCTCAGTTTCCTCATCCGAGAACCTGGGGCCTCTGCTTCCTAGGCGGCTGTCAGGACATGGGGGTAGGGCAGGGAAGCCTGGGAGCAGTGTCTGGCACACAGTGGCCCGAGTGTTATTGCTGTCAGGCTGTCCCCAGGAAGCTCCACCCCATGCCCTTGTCCCCGTTCTGCCCCAGCTCCCTGGTTGCTGGGCTCCACTCTTGGTTGTGACTAGAAACGCCTGGCCTGATGTTTGTGGGTTCATCCGTGTCCCCTGCGTCCAGCACTGCCCCCATTTCACCCTGAATGCTTGTTGAGTGGATAAAACGTTGGACAGTTTGAAGGACTGACCCAAACCCACTTCCATGGGCCGCCCGGCTGCCTCTGAGCGCCTCAATCTCCCCTTCCATCCCCGTCTCTTGCTGAGCCTCTGGGGCTGACCCAGAACGCAGGAAATCAGAGCCAGGAGTCTGCATCTCTGCTTTATTTAACAGCCCGTGACTGACAGCTGTCCCCGACCAGCCCCTCCCGCCTCTACAAAAGCAACTAAAAATGAGCCGGGGCTGCCCTGCAGGGGACCTGGGGGACTGTGGCTTCAAATCCCAGGCCACCGGCCTTGGAAGGCAGGGAAGGAGGGCAGGCAGCGCAGCTCTAACCAGGAGCGGGGGAGGAGGCTGGAGAGTCCCGGGGCAGCCTCTCCTGGGCTTGCCCTGGCGCCAGACGCCAGGATGCTGGCCTGGGGGAGCCAGGCCGGCCACCCGGGGCCGGAGGAGGGAGCGAGTCAAAGCCTTTCAGAGTCAAGGGAGGCGGTCAGGCCCCTGGGGCCCAGTAGCGCGCCCTCAACTCCACCCCACGCTCACAAGCACACCCCCACAGCCACACGTGCAGCCACACACACTCACACCCACACCAAAGTCACACACACTGTGGGCTGCAAAGGCCCTGGACCCACCCCCTGGACCCTGGAATGTCTCTGGATTGGTACCCAGTAGGCGGGCCCACGGCAGGCGGGGCTGCCACGGGGGTGGGTCCTCTGTGTTGCTACTGATTGGCTGCCTCGCAGGCATCTATCCAATCGCTGTACACGTCCACTGGTTCTGACAGATCTGAGCCGCTGAGGTCAAGGGCCACGGGTGGCATTGGACCCCTTCCCGGTTCACCCCTCTATGGCTCACACACCCCTGCCCTGCACCCCATCACCCCATTTAAGTCAGCAGGCAGCAATAGTTCCTCTGGGCGGCCACAGCCCTGCACCAAGGCACACGGTGGAGCCAGAGGAGCAGGCGCTGGCCTCCAGCCCCCTCACCCTTGGCCAGGTGCCCTTGAGCAGCCCACCCTAGGCACCCCGCCCCCTCCCCTGGAAAAAGCCAGGCTTCTGAAGGATACAGGTGATGGGTGTCTGGAACTCCTCTAGGCACACGGTACACGAGATGACTCCAGTGTTGCGGGCACGGTCCCTAGAACAGGAGGAGGTGGAGGGACTGATGAGTCAGGACGCCTGTGTCTATGGGTGATGGTCCCCCTAACCGGAAGGCCCAGGGCAGACCAGAGGACGGTGACGGACACAGGAGAGGTCCCATGAGGCAGGATCCCTGGCCCCCGTCCCCACTCACATTTTCACGTCACAAGACTTCTCGTGGTTGCAGAAGGGGCAGGTGAACTGGGTCTCTAGGGTGCCTGTCATCTTCTTCTTGGGGGGCGGCTTCCGTTTGGACTTTCTGCGCCCCATGTCTGCAGGACGGCGAACCTGGGGGAGGGAGGCAGAAGTCAGCGACTCAGGGGACCCACGGTGAAGGGGTTCTTGGACAATGGTGCCCTCTGGGGCAGGCGGACAACACCAGAGCACTCTGGGTGGAGGAGGTGGGAGCAGGCTCTGGGGCCAGGTGGCCTGGGTTCTAACCCTGGCTCCCCATCACTGTGTGACCCCATGCAGGTTACTTAAGCTCTCTGTGCCTCAGTTTCCTGCCTATAACATAGAGACAGGCCTACTATCTCAGAGGGGTCTTGTGGGGCTGACACAACAAACGGTCAGTGACGTGCACGCGCAGGGCCTGACTCCTCCACTGTGGCCCCTGCACAGGAAGCCACTGTTCCTGGTGAGGATGACACGACAGATTCTGCGACAGGCCATTGCGCAGGGCTGTGCAGAACCTAAGTGCTCAAAAGCCACTGATTTTCGGAGCAGCTGTTCCTCTTGTCAAGGGGACATGCAAGTGCCACCCAGGAGGAATGACACCCAGGGCATTTGACAGTCTCCGGATGGGCCCCCTGGATGCCTCTCTGCAGACAAGGGGCTGTTGAGCAGAGAAGTGGAGACAAGCATTTTGAGCAGAGAAACACCACGTGCAAAGGCTCTGGGGCAGGTGTCTGAGGGTCCCGGGCAGCATTTGGGGCCTGCACAGGTGGGGGAGAGGGGCAGGCTGAAGAGGTCGCAGGGACAGGCGGGAGGGGTTTGGGTGGATCCTGGAGGCCACGGGAGGGAAAGGACGAAATAGCTTTGTGTTTCGAAGGGACTGAGGAGTAGCGGTCAAAAGCCGGGATAAGATGCAGTCAGACCAGGACAGGGCTGTTCGGGGTGACAGACATTGAGGAGACGAGTCAGCAGAGGGAACGAGAGAAGGGCAGCCCCAGGATGACTCCTCAGGTTGTGGTCGGGGACAGAGCAGCAGGCGGTGGAGAAGGTGACATCATTCTCCGATGTCTAATAGGAAGAGCAAGGTGTTGGGGAAAATAATGGCAGCAGGTGCCAGAGGGACGTCTAGGGACAGGTGTCTCACAGGCAGGGGCTGCCACTGAGTGTACTGCCCACGCCAGGCACTCGGCTCAGGGCTCTGCATTCGCCATCCCTGAACCTCCCAAGGCACTCCTCGCCCACTACCACCACATGCACGTGCACACACACACTCACTCCACCCTGGTTCCAGCATCAATCCTGCACGACAGGGGAGGGGAGCAGCCCACCAGAACAAAGCCCAGGGTTTCATTCACATTTGGCGATAGCCCTCTATGTAACATCCTCATTCTTGGCTGAGGGGGCTTCCAACACACTGAGAGGCAGCAACATCCACAAGCCCATAGGCCCGCCTGCTCCGCCTTCCCTCCTTCACTATGGAAGAACGTCCACACTCACCACAAAAACCATATGTTACCATGTGCCTGGATCCCAACATCGCATTGTCTGTCTCTCCTGCATCGACAGACACACTGTGATCACCTCTTGCATTGTGAAAAACAACAAACCCTTCGTTCTCCGTGGGCATTTTCTCCCCTCCCATTCTCTCTCCAGCCCCTGCCCCTGCTCCCCATCCCAAGCGGCAGTCTGCGCTCCTCAGGGCACTAGACACACCGGCTCCTCTTGCCAGCCTTCCCGTGGGGCTCTCAGGACCAGCACTGTTCCCTCCCTGCCTCAATGGCGGCTTCTTTCAGGCTCTGCAGGTTCTTTCAGGCTCTGCGCTGCTGCTAAGCCCCTCCCCAATTCAGTAATGATAGGTGAGCCCCCAGGCTCCATCCTTGAGCCCCTCCCCTCTCTGGCTACACTCGTGTCCACGGAGACCTCGCCCAGTCTCTCCCTCCACCCTCCTGTCCCACGTGGACTGCAGACTCTCCCGTCTACCTGCCTCGGCCACACTTTCTCCTGATGCTAACAAACATTTAAACATCACCTATCCAAAACGGAGCTCCTGGCACCTCAACCTGCTCTCCAGCAGTCTTCCCCATCTCGGCAGACAGCGAGTCTCTTCTCAGAACCTTGGACTCATCGATTCCTTTCTCACACCGATTACCTGATACCGATCCAGCTGGTCTACCTCGAAAACAGTCAAGCGTCACATAACGACGTTTCAGTCAATGACGGACCGCGTATACGACGGTGGTCCCATAGGATTAGTACCAGAGAGTCCAGCTGTGTAGTAGGCTGTGCCATCTAGGTTTGTGCACGTACACTCTCTGTTGTTCACACAACGACGAAATCGTCTAACGACGCATCTTTCAGAACATGACCCTGTCATTCTGCACTGCATGACTGGACATGTGACCACTTCTCACCATCCCCAGAGCCAGCTCCATGGTCTGAGTCCCCGAGTCCTGGTCATCTCTGGCCTGGATGATCACAACAGCCTCATTGGTCTCCCAGCATCTCCGACGCGGTCCCCCACCCTCCAAATGTAAATTCCCTGAGGGCAGGAATTTTTGTCTGGTCTTTGTATCCCCAGAGCCTAGAACAGCTCCTGGCACAGAGCTGGCGCTCAGCAAATATTTACTGAATGAATGAATGAATGAATGCACCCAGGCCAGGCCCTCCGCTAAACTGCAGCAATGCTGCCAGGAAAGCAGGCAAGGCATCTGCTCTTGTGAAACTTACATTCGGGTGGAGGAAGACAGACCGGCAAGGTAACTAACAAGCGAAATCATTCAAATACTGGTAAGCCCGATGAGGTTAATAAAACGGGGCTGGGTGGACACTTCCAGAACCAGATAAGGGTGGGGGGGGAGGACCCTGGGTAAGGGTCATTTAAGCCGAGGCCTGATTGAGAAGAAAAGGCAACCAGGAGAGGGAGTCCAGGCAGAGGGAACAGCACCTGCAAAGGCTCCGAGGCAGATGCCGCTGTTCTGGAGAAAGAAGACTAGTGCGGCTGAAGCCCAGTGAGCAATGAGGAGGGTATGAGATGCGACAGAAAAGCAGCAGCGGACCCCACAAGACCCTGCAGGCTTCAGTAAGGTGTAGCCCATGCTCTCACCGGCAGGGGCAGTGTTTTTTTCTTTTTTTTCCCCCAAAGCACGCCCGGAGTACCACCTGCAACAGAATCACCTGAGGGTACTCCAAAAAAATGCAGATTTCTGAAGCCCCTCCCAGATCTCCCCCCTGCTAGACTGTCAGGTCCGCAAGGCGGGGGGAGCATGAGTTGCCCACTGCTGAATCCCCAACATGCGTAGAGCCTGGTAGGTATTAGGCGCTCAATAACTACTTGTTGAATGAATAAATCATTTGTCCCCTGAATCAGAAGCTACAGATGTGCCCCAGAATCTCATTTTACCCGGTGTCTACAGCAGCACCCCAAACCCCACCCCAGAAAAAGGGACGGGCCTGCATCCAAGGCTCCAGAGGCCCTGGCCTGGCCTTCTGTGGCCACCGAAGGCCAAGCGCGCCAAGAAGGGGCTGGAAGAGGGCTCGGCCCTCGGCCCTGCTGCGACTCAGGAGGCGGCAGGGGGCGGCCCCTCCAGGCTCCCCGAGGCTCCGGCGTCGCCTCCCGCCGGCCTCCCGCGGGAGCCAGGACTCCGAGCAGGGGGCCGGGGAGGGAAGCTCCCCGCTGGGCCGCCCCCCAAGCCCGGGGCCTTCAGGGACCCCTCCAGGACCCCGTAAGCGCCCCGGGGTGGAGCAGCGCCTCATCCCGCCCGGCCCCAACGCCCGCCCGCGCGAACCGCCACCCGCGCTCGCCTTCGCTCGTTGCGACCGGCCTCGTTCACCCAGGAGACAGGGACTTCCGGCCCTCGGCGGAAGCGGAACCCCTCTACTCCCCTCACGTCCCGCCCACCCACGGCCGGGACCGCCCCGCGAGCGGGCCCCGCCTCCTCCAGTGTGCACGCGTACCCGCCTTCAGGGCCCGGCGGCGGGCTCGCTCTGCGCCTGCGCGAGGGCTCGAGAGCTTTTGGGTGTAGCAGCGCGCACGGCCGCTAATTATGGTGAGTTCCCAGCGGTGGCCTTTCCAGCGTTTCCGGGCCGGTGGGCCGGGCCATACCAGCGCTGGAAAGGCAGCCTCGGCCTTGGCCGCCGCATCTTCACTTGTCTTCTCTCCCAGTTCAAGCTTCAGCCCCTCGCAGCCCACCTAGGTCTCCCCAACTTCGGACACATTCAGATATCCCAGTGCTAAGGCATTGCGGGTGTCCGTATGGCTGAATCGGGGTGAGGGCGAAGCTTGTAAGATGCTGTTCTCAAACTTTAGCAAGAACCTGCCGATCTTAAAATTCAGGTTCTGATTCGTTAGGTCACGTGGGGTCTCAAAAGTCTGCATTTCTAACTAGCTCCGTGTTGACGTCCGTGCTACTGGGCGGAGCACACTTTGAGTGCCAGAGGTTATAGTAGCGGAGGTTGGATAGGCGGGCAGAGGCCAGATCACTCCACAAATCCGACAATTTGGTGAAGAGGCTGGACAGAAAAGATCGATGACCACACAAGGAAAGTGTGTGGATCTCTGAGAGCCTGTGGTGGTGGAGGTGGTTGCCAAACTGGTCTGAGAAGTGAGGGAAGGCTGATGCTCGGGTTGAAACCTGAAGCCCGAGTAGGAGTTACACAAAAGTAACACCCACAGAACTGATGATGGGGTGAAGGAGAGAGAGGAGTCAAGGATGGCTCCTACTGTCTGGAGCCCCCCTCGGTGCTGCTTCTTACTCAGCTGAGGAAGGCTCCGGGGAGGTGATTTGGAGAAGTCAAAGGTTGTGTTTTGGCCGTAATAAGTTTGAGACAAGCAAGGGGAGGTATGAAGCAAGCCCCTGGAAGTGGAGTCTGGAGCTCAGAAGAAAGACCTGGATGTGATTTTGAGAGCCTTCGAATATGGAAGTTATTTGAAGTCTTGGAGCCAGAGGAGGTCACCTGGTTTCCTGAGCGAAACGCGAAGTGTAGCAAAAGAAGAGGGCTAAGAGGGAGACCAGGGCCCCCCCAACCTTAGAGGTCAGGGGGAGGGACCAGCAAGAGACAGGGCGGGCCAGTCAGGTAGGAGGAGAAAGAGGTGGGTGTCCCCTCCCAGAAGCCTCCAGAAGAGGGTATTTCAAGATGGGGAGAGTGGTCAGCTATGTCACATGTGGCTGAGAGTTTGATAAGATGAGGAAAGAGAATTGACTGTTGTCTTTGACAAGTGGTTGGTCACATGTGTCCTTGATAAGAGCTGTTTTCATTGGAGTGTTCAGGCAAATAACTTGTAATGAGATGCGTTTCAAATAGGCTTATCTCCAACATGTCCGTGAGGGGGCAGTGTGATCCTTGGAACCGCCAAGTGCAACCCTTGGAAGTGCCTCCCTGGAGGACCCCCCTCAGTGCTGGTGCAAACCTGGACACACACAGATGAGATCTTACTGTACACGTTACCTCACAACCTGTGTGTGTGTTGACTTAATGGTCAACACACACACAGGAAACTCTTGTTTTAGTAGCTACACAATTCACATTGTGGCTCTGTCATAGTATATATGGACAATCCCGTATTTGCTTGTGATTGCTAAGTTAGTTTTTTCTTCCTTCCTTCTCTTTCTCTCTCTCCATCTCTCTCTCTTTCTCCTTTCCTTCCCTTCTTCTTTCCCAGCTTTATTGGGATATAATTGACAGAAAATAAAATGCACATACTTAACCTATGAAATTCCATGTCTTGACATACGTGTTCACCCATGAAACCGTCACCACAATCAAGATAGTGGATGTCTCCACCACCCCGAGGAGTTTCCTCGTCCCTCTTTGTAGTCAGTTCCTTCCGCTCTTCTCAGCCCCTGACATCAACGGATCTGTTTTCAGTTCCTATAGTTTTGTGTTTTTTCAGGAAGTCACATAAACCAAATTATTCAATATGTAGCCTTTTGAGTTTGTCTCCTTTGACTCAGTTTGCCATGTTCAGGATTCGTCCATGTTCTATCAGTCTTTTTTAAAATTTTTATCACTGAGTTGTAATCCATTGCATGGATGGACCACAGTTTGTGTATCCATTCACCCATTGATGGACATTTGGGTCGTTTCCAGTTTGGGACAATTATGAATAAAGCAACTATGAACCTCTCATTCAGATCTTTGTGTGGTTGTTTGTTTTCATCCGCTACTGTGTTTGCTTTCTATACAAAAATGTGCGATTCCTCTGGAACTCATTTTTGTATATGATCTGAAGTTGAGTTCAGGCTTTGTCTTCTTCTGGGCAAGTCGACAAGGCAAATAACACCTTTCTGCGAAGTTGCAACACCACCTTCAGCCTACATCACGTTCTCATGTGTTCTTTGAATTTGTTTTCTGGGATTCGCGCTGGATGTTTGCCCCGAGCCCATGTCATCTTGTTTTGATGACAGCCGTGTTTTGCTGTGTCATGAGGCAGGACTCTCCCCTTCTTATTCATGATTCTTGGCCTTGGAGGTTGTTGAGGAGGTGGGTGTGGCCTGACTCTCTGGTGACAACCTCCTGGCTGCGTGAGGATGCTGGTACCTGTCCGAGTAGCTGGTGTGAGGCGTGGGGAGATAATAATATCAGTGATGCTTGAATCAGATGCAGTTGCTTGGCAAGAGTAAAAAGAGATGGAGATGGGACCCTGGGACTGGCCTTGAGGAAATCCGCCATCTTGTTCTTTGCAGTTTAAAGCCATCTTTCTAACAATGGCCGTGTGCCAGCTGGCGTTGTCCCCAAGCTGGATGGACGCCCTCTGAGGGCAATGTCCACCCTGCCTTATTCCTTTTGGTGCTCCTTGGGTCCCCAGCTGCCTGGCACAGGACTTAGTCCTTGGTACTTGGTAGAAGTACTTGGTTGTTGTGGCAGAGAGGGCCAACCCCCCTTCCTGCCACTCATTCCCTGTGTCAGCTTGAATGTGTCACTTCTCCTTTCCACACTCTGGGCCCTGTGAACGGGGACATTGGCCTAATTCCACCCTCCAGGCCCTGCAAAAAGGGACATTGGGCTGACCACTGATTCAGACCCTGCCTGCCCGGAGTCTCTGAGTCAGTGGGAAGCGACAGGGTGGCTTTGAGCAGCCTGGACGGTCCTGGTTAAGACTGAGGGTCTCCCACTTCCTGGGCATGACCTTGGGCACTTTGCCTATAATCTGTCGGATTTCCGTCATGTCCTCCGAGAAGCGAGGATGCTTCTGGCCCTTGCCTCATGGGTCACGATTAGGAGAGAGGGTGTGTGTTAGGCAGAGAGCTTGATTGATAGTAATGCCAGCCAGGTAAACGTCAGCTGGCAGGGACTCAGGGCTGGCATTTCCATAAGAGCTTTGCCTCATTTTAAGAGTAACACGTGCGCCGTGTCACAAATTCAGCAGTATCGACATTTATAAAGTAGCAAGTGAAGATACCGCTTCCAGCAAGTTCCTCTCCCCAGAAGTAACTTGTTACATTTTGTCCAGGTTGTTATTTCATGTCACCCAACTGGGCTGGCAGCTGCAGCCAAACAGATGGGTCCCTGCCCTGTAGCAGCTGAAGTGACAGTTGAAGGCGGGCCCAGGGAGCAGTTTCTGCCACTTGCCTTAAGCTGCGTGGCTCAGGCTGTAGGTGGGTGGGTGTTACTCAACTCTCCCACAGGGGAACTAGGCTTCTCTGCAGCTTCCCGCTCACGAGGAGCATTCTGCTTCCAACATCTGTCATAAAAAACAAGCTCTGAAATAATTCTGCTTCTGGAAGTTTTTCTACATACATACCTGCACAGATGTACAAAAGCACGAGGCCAGGGGTGTCCATGGTGCCTCTGTTGGTAAGAGAGAAAGACTGAAATTGATCTCAACGGGCCCCAGCAAGGAGCCGGTGACATAGGCGGAAGCTCCCTGGCTGTCAAAAAGAAGGGCCACCCTCTTTTGGGAATGCCTCTTGTTTATCCTACATACATACTGCACACGTGGGAAACGAATGTACAGGGTCATTAATTGCAGCAGTGTTTGAGGAGGGCAAAATTATTGGAAGCAATCCAGGCCACCCTCTGTAGATGGCTGGTTAGATAGACGGTGGGTCAGGCACGCAATGGGGCCTCTGTGGCCTCAGAAAGAGCTAGAAGCTCTCCCTGAGAGCTGATGGGCAGATGGCCAGGTGTAACAGGCAGAAACAGCAAAGTACACAGAGAACCTTTTGGGGTGTGGGAAATGCTTCTATCTTGCTTGTGATCATGGGTTTGTGGGTGTGCGCCTGTGTCAGAACTTCCCGACATGCACCCTGCAAATGTGTCAATTACACCTCCATCAAGTTGCTTTGATAAATCAAAAAATGGCACAGAGAAAGACTGGAAGGGAACACAAAGCCTTTATAAAAAGTTCTTTCTTTTTCGGAGAGGGGGAGGGAAGGGCAGGGAGGGGCGTGAGATACTTCTGCTTTCTATAAATTTGAGATTTTCAAGCCATGTCAATGTGTCACCGATTCCATGTTGAAATGAACAAAAATGAAGTTTCTGTTGTGAGCAGTCCAGCTGTGGTTAAGCAGAAAGAGCACAGGCAGAACTGTGTGTATCTCATGCTGGTTTGTGTAAAAAAAGAGGGATGTTTTTGTTATGGAGGCATCGATTGAGGAAGGAAAGACAAGGATGATGGTGGATGCCCCTGGGGAGGTGGGCACAGGGAAGAAGGCTTGCTTTTTGTGGTACCTTCCTTCTGCAAGGTTTTCACTTAAAATCTCATCCATGTAGGAGGCCAGTTG